TCTCCACAGTGTAATCCTGGGAGGCTGGGGCCTTGGAAGCAGAAAGCAGAGGTCACTGAGAGTTGGACACGACAGAGCCAGGCCAGGCCCTGACCTATGAGGCCGGAGCCCACTGCCCAGCAGAGCCCGAGGAGAAGGCGCCCCAGGCTGAGGTCCCCCCCTCCCTAGCCCAGGCTCTGGGTCGGGGAGCAGAGAGCTCCAGGGGCTCCAGTGTAGGGAACAGGGGAAGGGCTGAGCCCAAGTTCCTCTCTGTCGGCCCCGCTCACCTGGTCCTTCCGCTCCAACAGCGCCCTCACCTGGCCTCTTTCTCTGAACCTCCCAGTAGAGAGGACACCCTGACACACACACACACACACACACACACACACACACCCCAGAAAGGGCACAGGGAGACTGATAACACTGGGGTGGTACTCTCTCTCCTTTCACTTGTCTATGGGGCTGGTCACCCCTCAGAACGTCCCGCCACCCTCCCTACATTAGCACAGGGCAGCTGGTCCTGGCCCATGGACACCCAGGGTAGGAGCCCCCTGACCTGGCCACAGGGTCACAGGGCCTGGACTCTGAGCTCACCTCACCCAGCCACTTTGCCACCCACAGTCCCCCAGGGCAGGGAGGGTCACAGGGTCAGGATCAACTGTGTGGACACCCCCAGGCCTGGTGGATGGGGTCACCACAGGGCATGTGCTCCCACCCATGGATGTCTGAGTCACAGCAGGATAAAGAGGAGAGAGAAGCCACTCAGATTTAAAGAAAGAATTTTCACTCCTTCCCTCTCCATGTCCTTGCTGGACCCTCAGTTCATCTCAGGGTCTGACCACATGCCAGGTACAGTCTCATCCAAAAATGCCCCAAAGAACCATGCAGCCCTGGTCAGGGACCCCATGGAGCATGGGACTTGCCTCTGGAGGGTGGACCCCAGGGGACACATTGCCTGGGCCCCACAGAGCTCGGCCAGGGCAAAGGGCAGGGCACCACCATCCTGAGGGGAAGGACTCAGTCCCCTTGAAGGGGTCTGTTCCCACCTGATGACAGCTCTGTGTCCCCTTTGATGAGGGGCTCATTTTTCAGGCGATCCTGGTGTCCAGATGGGACCAGACTCCAGGGCCCTGAGCCAGGGGTGAAGGCCGAGGGCCATGTGTGCAGAAGGAGGGGAGCCCCAGGGCTGGGGGTGAGCAGGAGGGCAGGGAGCCTGGACAGAGACGCGGCTGGGACAGGGTGCAGGGCCCTGGGACCCACCTGAGGGCGGAGTGGAGTCCTCCTCTGTCACCTGCAGCTCCAGGCTCTCACTGAGCCCAGACCAGATATCAAACACATGTTGGTAGAGGCAGCTATAACGCCCAGTAATGTCTTCACTCACAGAGGGGAAGTGGAATCTGGCCTCTGTCCCCTGCGAACCATCTTGAGACACACCCTTCTGATCAGGGCTTACAGTTCTTCCATCTTTCTCCAGGCGGAATGACTTAGCTCCCACTGGGCCCCGGCACACGAAGGACACAGGCCGTCCCCTGGGGATGACAGAACCTGGGTCGGCCCTGAGGGAGGGTTTGGGCAGGGGCCCTGGAAGGAAGCAGAGCAGGAGCTCAGGCTCCATCATGAGGAAATCTACATACCTCTTTCCTCCCGTGTCTTAAGCGTGCAGCTCAATGGTTATTAGCAAACTTGCAGAGCTGTGCAACCCTCACCACAGCACAATTCTAATCATTTGCACCATCCCTTCCCCAAAACCCTGCCCCTTCCCCCTCCAGGAAACTTAATTCTCATCACTCCAATGACTTCTGCACATGAAAAAAGTTCTGGTGACATCGTGGGCTTTTCTCAGGGGAACACGGGAGGTGTCAGAGCAGCCTGGGGCCCCGGGTATGTCTCCCTCCCCACGGCCACTCTCCAGGGGGGCAGACAGGGCTGGGAGGGAGGCAGAGGGTGAGGATGAGCAGGACACTCAGTGAACAGGGACGCTGGAGTGGGAGATGGTGGCAATGACCTGGCCAGGTCTGCAGGCAGCTGGGTGGTGGGGGGATGTGAGGACCAATGGGAGCTGCATGGCCCCATGGGAAGTCTAATGGGGGTGGAGCTCCAGCCCAGCCCAGACCTGCTCACAGGACCCCAGTGGGTGAGGGACACCAGACTCCAGGGCATGTCCTCTGAGCAGCACTCACTCAGGTTCCCTCTGCATTTCCCACCTTCCTCACAGCCCATTCCCACTTCCTTGTGATTGATGCTCCTGAAACCCCAAGTGTCTAAACTGGACTGGGCAGGGGAAGAGAGGGTGTGCTGGGCTGCATTATCTGGCGCTTCGGCCAGGTGGGGCACGCTGTCCTAAACACATAGATAGGAAGGTACTGACATCAGGCCAGGCCTTGAGATATGGTCTCATGGCCCCTTCCCAGCACGCAGGCCTTCTTTCTCAGAAGGCCTAGAAGTCTCATTCCAAACTTGGGAGAAAGGACTAGAAAAGTATAAATAAAGAGAGTTTCCTCCATATTGGGGGCCCAGAATTTGAAAGACACATTTTTCTCTGGGCCTCCACAGAACTTAATAATAAAATGTAACTCCTGTAGTAGGCACTGCAGCTCTGTGTTTCCTCTGACCCGGGGCTCAAGGTCCAGGCCATCTCAGTGTCCACATGGGACCTGACTCCAGGGCCCTGAGCTAGGGGTGGAGGCCGAGGGTCATGTGTGCAGAGGGAGGGGAGCTCCAGGGTTGGGCAGGGACACAGGGAGATGAGGATACTGGGGTGGCAACCTCTCTGCTTCCACTTGTCTGAGGGGCTGGCCACCCCTCAGAATGTCCCACCACCCTCCCTACATTAGCATGGAGCAGCTGGTCCTGGCCCATGGACCCACAGGTTGGGTGACCCCTGACCTGGCCACAGGGTCACAGGGCCTGGACTCTGAGCTCACCTCACGCAGCCACTGTCCCACCCACCGTCCCCGAGGGAAGGAAGGGTCACAGGGTCAGGATCAACTGGGTGGACACCCCCAGGTCTGGTGGGTGGGGGCCACCCCTGGGCATGTGCTCTCAGCCATGGGATATCTGAGTCACAGCAGGATGAAGAGAAGAGAGAGAAGACACTGATTTAAAGGAAGAATTTTCCCTCTCCTTCCTCTCCATGTCCTTGCTGGACCCTCATTTCACCTCAGGGTCTGACCACACCTGGACAGGGGCAGCCTCATCCAAAAGTGCCAAAGCACATCTCAGCCCTGGTCAGAGACCACATGCACCACGGAAATTCCCCAAGGAGGGTGGACCCCAGGGGACACATTGCCTGGGCCCCAAGAACCTCGTCAGTGGAAAGGACAGGGCACCAACAGGTCTGTTACCACCTGGTGGCTGGAAGCCCAGGCCCCAACCAGCCCAGCAGGGACAGCTCTGTGTCCCCTCTGATGCAGGGTTCAGGATCCAGGCCACCTTGGTGTACAGACCAGACCTCAGGGCCCATACCAGGGTTGACAGCCGAGGGTCATGTGAATAGAGGGAGGGGAGCTACATGGCTGGGGGTGAGCAAGAGGGCAGGGAGTCCAAGGACAGAGACGGGGCTGGGACAGGGTACAGGGCCCTGGGACCCACCTGAGGGCAGAGTGGAGCTGTCCTCTTCTGTCATCTGTAGCTGCAGGGGCTCACTGAGCTCAGATGAGCTGAACTGGGTAAGACAGAAGCAGCGATAACGCCCAGCAGTTTCTTCACTCACCACGGGGATGAGGAATCTGGTCTCTGTCCCCTGTGAGCCATCTTGAGGCACACTGTCCTGATAATGGTGTACACGTCTTCCATCCTTCATCAGGTGGCATGCCTTAGCCTCAGCTGGGCCCTGGCACACGAAGGTCACAGGCCGTCCCCGGGGGACCACAGGGCCTGGCTCGGCCCTGAGGGAGGGTTTGGGCAGGGGCCCTGGGAGGAAGCAGAGCAGGATCTCAGGCTCCATCAGGAGGAAATTGCCACACCTCACACCTCCTGTGTTTTAAGTGTGTATGTCAATGATTCTCACCAAACTTGCAGAGTTGTGCTACCACAACCTCAGCCCAAATCTAGACCATTTGCACCATCCCTTCCTCAAGAGACCACCCCTCTGCCCCCTCCAGGGGACTGAGTACTAATCCCTCCAGTGACTTCCCCACGTGACACAAGTTCTGGTGACATCATGGCTTTTCTCAGGGGGACATAGGAGGAGTCAGAGCAGCCTGGGGCCCTGGGCAGGTCCCCCTCCCCATGGCCAATCTCTAGGGGGACAGACAGGGCTGGGAGGGAGGCAGAGGGTGAGGATGAGGAGGTGATTCATGGGGAAGGGACGCTAGAGTGGGAGATGGTGGGTATGACCTGGCTGGGTCGAAGGCAGCAGAGGGAGATTGTGGGGACCATTGGGGGCTGCAGGGCTCCATGGGAAGTCTAATGGGTTTGGGGGTGCAGTGCCAGCCAAGACCTGTGCAAAGAACCAGAGTAGGTGATAACCCCTAACTCCTGGGCATGGCCCCTGAGCAGCACTCACTCAGGTTCCCTCTGCATTTCCCGCCTTCCTCTCAACCCATTTCCTCTTCCTTGTGATTGAGGCTCCTGAAACCCCAAGTGTCTAAACTGGGCTGGGGAGGGGAGGAGAGGGCTCTAGCCCTGAAGCAGGAAGAAGGCATCCAAGTTATCCAATCCCCACAGAGGCAGGAGCTGGCTGAGCCCCAGCATTCATTCCCTCATTCCTTCAGCCACAGCTTAGCTTCCATCCCTTTCTTTACAGACGCCTCCTTGTGCCACTGGTTCCACAGTCTCCTAAGACAGTGAGCGTCACAGGGTCAGGATCAACTGGTGGACACCCTCAGGCCTCAATATTGGGGGCCAACTCAGGGCTTGTGCTCCTACTCAGGGCTTATACTCCACTATTGATATGGCTTAGTCATAGAGAGATAAAGAGGAAAGAGAAGACAATCGGTGGTAAAGGAAGAATTTTCCGTCTCTCCCTCCTTCCCTCTCCTTCCCTCTCGATGTCCTTGCTGGGTCCTCAGTTCATCTCAGGGTCTGACCACACCAGGCCAGGGGCAGCCTCATCCAAAAATGCCCCAAAGCAAGCCCCATGGGACTTGCCCATGGAGGGTGGACGCCAGGGGAAACATTGCCTGGGCCCCACAGAGCCTGGCCAGGGGAAAGGGCAGGGCACCACCATCCTGAGGGGAAGGACAGGCCCCTTGAAGTGTCTGTCCCCACCTGGTGGCTGGAAGCTCAGGCCCCACCCAGCCCAGCAGGACAGCTCTGTGTCCCCTCTGATGCTGGGATCAGGATCCAGGCAATCTTGGTGTTCAGATGGGACCAGCCTCCAGAGCCCTGAGCCAGAGGTGAAGTCTGAGGGTCATGTGTGCAGAGGGAGGGGAGCCCCAGGGATGGGGGTGAGCAGGAGGGCAGGGAGCCCGAGGACAGAGAAGCAGCTGGGACAGGGTGCAGGGCCTTGGGACCAACCTGAGGACAGAGTGGAGTCCTCCTCTGTCACCTGCAGCTGCAGGGGCTCACTGCGCTCAGACAAGCCGGACTGGGTGAGACAGAAGCAGCGGTAACTCCCTGCAGTGTCTTCACTCACCACAGCGAAGAGGAATCTGGCCTCTGTCCCCTGTGAGCCATTTAGTGGCACACTGTCCTGATAATGGTGTACACGTCTTCCATCCTTCTCCAGGAGACATACCTTAGCCTCAGCTGGGCCCCGGCACACAAAGGTCACAGGCCGTTTCCAGGGGACCACAGGGCCTGGCTCGGCCCTGAGGGAGGGTTTGGGCTGGACCCCTGGGAGGAAGCAGAGCAGGATCTCAGGCTCCATCATGAGGAAAACTCCACACATTATACATCCCGTGTCTTGTGCGTGCAGCTCAGTGGTGCTTAACAAATTTGCAGATCTGTGCAACCCTCACCACAGCCCAATTCTAGACCATTTGCACCATCCCTTCTTCAACAGACCACCCCTTCCCCCTCCAGGAAACTGAATTCTCATCACTCCAATGACTTCTTCATGTGACACAAGTTCTGATGACATTGTGGGCTTTTCTCAGGGGGACACAGGAGGTGTCAGAGCAGCCTGGGGCCTGGGCATGTCTCCCTCCCCACAGTCACTCTCTAGGGGGACAGACAGTACTGGGTGTGAAGCAGAGGGTGAGGATGAGCAGGTCACTCGGGAGACAGGGACGCTGGTGTGGAGCGGGTGGAAGTGACCTGGCTGGGTCTGAAAGCAGCTGGAGAAGGTTGTGGGGACCAATGGGTGCTGCAGGGCCCCATGGGAAGTCTAATTTGTTTTGGGGTGGACACCAGCCCAGACCTGCTCCCAGGACCCCAGTGGGTGAGGACCCCAGATTCCTGGGCACATCCTCTGAGCATCACTCACTCAGGTTCCCTCTGCATTTACCACTTTCCTCTCAGCCCATTTCCTCTTCCTTGTGTCTGAGGCTCCTGAAACCCCAAGTGTCTAAACTGGGCTGGGCAGGGGGAGAGAGGGCTCTAGCCCTGAAACAGGAAGAAGGCATCCAAGTTACTCAATCCCTGATGGAGACAGAGCTGGCCGAGCCCCAGAACTCATTCCCTGAATCCTTCAGCCACAGCTCAGCTCCCATCTCTCCCTTTACAGACACCTCCTTGTGCCACTGGCTCCAAAAATAGGAGAAACACAGGAGGATCCCTGCCTTCTTGGGGGAAGGGTAGAGGGAGCACAGGGCTGAGGAGGGAGTGTGCATAGCACATACACACGCTCTGATACTCTCCCAGGGTTGACTGTGGGAGGCTCAGAGCTAAGTGTGGGAGGCACGGGGTAAGTGAGGGAGGCTCAGGGTGAGGGGGGCAGACCCGTCCTCTCATCAGAGGCAGAGGGGAGAGGTCCTGAGCTGCAACTAGAAGGTCAGGTGGGAAAGAGCCAAGCCAAGCACAGGAGCCCTCAGCCTGGGAAGAGGCCATGGTACATGGGGAAAATAGTGTTTGTGAAAGTGAAAAACAGGATGGATTTCTGAAGGTAACTTAACCAGCGGGCATCAGAACAGACAGATCCAGAAAATCAGAGAGGCTCAGGGCTCATTCCAGGTGAAGATACACCAGAAGCGGGCTCTAACAAAAAAACAATATTTTGCCTGAACATGAAACTTGTGTGAAAAACTAAATTAAAAAAGGCAAACTCACCCTCCTGCATGTGGATCACCTGGCCCAGGCAGAGCCCTGCAAGGGAAGCCCCAGTGAGGCAAGTGCCCTCCTGCTCTCGTAACTTAAACAGGGTCAAGGACTGCATCTCCCACCAACCTCCAACCCCCCTGGTCAGCATGGCTCCCATTGGGTAACTCCCTCCCCTATAACGGGTTTCAGACAAGTTCCCAGGAGGCCTGCCCACCAGAGCACCCCCCTGGCCGTGTTTGTGTCTGACCTGCCCCCCTCCCAGTGTCTAGAACAGCCTGGGACCCTCCCCTGGAGCTGGGGCCCAGGTGACACAAAGGAAACAGAGCCTGCAGGTTGAGTGGGCTCTCAGGCACTGGGTGGAGGTGGGGCCTGGGCGCCCCCCACAGTCCCGCCCCTCTGCCCTGTGGCCCTCCCCCCTGCGTTCTGACTCACCCAGGCCCAGGAGGGTGGTGGGACGGGAGTACATACTGGCAGCCTCTCAACCGCTTCTCTGCCCGTGTGCCCGGTGAGGCAAGCCTAGGCCCGGTCAGTCAGGAAGTGTGAAGGGGCCAGGTCAGGGGCTCATTTCCGTGGTCTGTCAGGAAGGGAGTGTGGCTGCTCCCAGGCCCTCGTTCCCCTATTTGGAGAACCTGAGAGGCCGTGGTTTCCGGGAGGCATTGCTAGTGAGATGTTTCCTAATCAGGGAGAGGCCGTGCCCAGATGAAAGCCACACAGAAGAAATTCATCAGTGACAGACACAGAAGACAGAAGGATGGATGAATGACATATAGATACTCAGAAATATAGAAATACAGTAACACAGACACACAAACAGATATTGTCATAGGTAGATACATAGATGCATAGATGGATATCAAGATAGTCACATAGACACTTAGAGACATAGATACATACACAGATACTAACATACATAGATATTTAGACACTTAGACACATAGAGTTGAATTGATACTTAGTTACATAGATAGATGGAAACATAGTAACACAGATAGATAGATACATAGATAATTAGATTGATATGTAGTTACATAGATAGTTAAATAGATACAATGATAGATAATGAGATACATAGAAAGGTAGACAGATTATACAGGCAGGAAAACTTAATGGCTTGTCATCTGGCCCTCACAGGCACACTGTCCCCAAACACACATGTCCTTATGCAAATGCTTCAGTTTCTCACCTGCAAACATGAAACCATAAAACTCTTCTCACACCTCCAGGTTAATCCTGGGCGAGCACAGAGCTGAGGGGGACACTGAAAGGACTCAGCCTGCCCCCACATACTCTGCAGGGCAGAAGGCACCTAGCTCAGGCTTGATATCCATGTCTCTTGGCCCCTCTGGGCCCTGTTGTGCCTCATCAGCATGGCTAAGGGTGAACCTGAGGAGGGGCGGTGAAGGATTGAAGAAAAGACAGACAAGAGAATACAGCTGGGGCTCGGTTGATCTTCCATGCCCGGAGGAGGATGCAAAAGACCCAGCATGCAAGCTGATACTTTATTTTATAGTCTGATTAAAACAAGGGTAGATTAACATGTATACAAGTGTTCTTGTTTTGGCAACACTTGCTGCACCTCATACAGCCCATTAGCTACTTGAGAAGGAATTAGGGAGGGCTACAAGGTCAGGCTTAATTATGCTAAGAGAGCTCTGCCCTCCAGGCTGGGACTTGATTGTGGCCCTGCCACAGGTCAGCCCAAACCTTGACCCTAGAGCCGCTTCCTATATCTCCCCCTTTTTTGTTTTTAAGCTACTACAATAAACTTAAATTTGAACATAACTCTGGCTATTAAAAAAATAACAAAATAATGCCAATGAAACACAGCAATAAGAGAAATCAAACTACAGACATATTAACATTTTCAGCTACAAAATGAAAGTTATCAACTCAGAATCCTCAGGTTTGGCCGTGCAAGAATTTAGAGAAAACTGGCAGCTCACCAAATCTAGTCAGCACCTTGGTCCCTTGCATAGTCTTCATTTTCTTCTCTCCCATCGCTATCATTGGGTCAACATCCAGTCTTTTGACTGAAGGGACAAAGAGCCTCTCTGGGTCTCCTGTACCTCCTCCAGCTGCCAGTGCAGCTTCTCCATCTCCTTGATGAGAAGGCCCCACAACTGATGCAGGTTGGCGAGCCTCAGGGTGATAGTCTCTGCATTTAGGCTTCTGCTGACAGTGACGATACTCTGGCTCCACCCAAAGATGCTGATGCCGTCGATATGAAGATGTTGTCAATGCAAAGCTTGTGCTTTTGGATTTCCTTCTGGAGGGTCAGATTTTTCTTTATACTCCTAAGATTTGGAAGGTCTTAACATCCCATGTTTTACACCAAGCTGCTACCTAAATTCACTCCTTCCCTTAATTTTTGCTTTCTGCACGTGCTTCACTGGAGTGTCCTTTCACCTTGCAATTGTAGTTCCCCATACTCAGGCCCCACGTTGGGCGCCACATGTGCTGTGCCAGTATGGCCAAGGGTGAACCTGAGGAAGGGCAGTGAAGGATTGAAGAAAAGACAGACAAGAGAATATAGCTGGGGCTCAGTGGATCTCCCATGTCTGGATGAGGACAGAAAACACCCAGCCTGAAAGCTGATGCTTTATTTTATAGTCTGATTAAAACAAGGGTAGATGAACATATATACAAATGTTCTTTTTTTTGGCAACACTTGCTGCACCTTCCACAGCCCATTAATTACTCAGGAAAGAATTTAGGAAGGCTACAAGGTCAGGCTTAATTATGCTAGGAGAGCTCTGCCCTCCAGGCTGCGACTTGTTTGTGGCCCTGCCACAGGGCATCCCGAGGCTGAACCATAGAGCAACTCCCTACACCAAGCATCATAACCCATGTGGATTCTCTAGTACTTCAACAACAGCAGGGGCATCTGTGAATCTCTTGGGCTCCAGTGTGAGCTTCTGGGCCCTGGGGGAAGTCCCTGCTGTGGCCCTGGGGCCCCCTATCTCTCGAGGCTTCCCTTGTCTTTATTCCTGTGGTCCCTGTGGGGACCTGCGCTGGCTGAGCCCAGCTTCCACCAGAATCGCCACCAGGATCAGCAAGATCACGCCTGCCAGGCCCAAGCGGATGCTGTTCTCCACCTTGTAATCCTGGGAGGTGGGGTCTGGAAGCAGAGAGCAGAGGTCACTGATAGGTGGACATGACCCCCCCCCAGATCATGACCTATGATAGGCAGGAGTCACTGCCCAGGTGAGCCCGAGGAGGGGACATCCCAAGCTGAGGTGTGGGAGCCACCCAGGCGGGGGAGCAGAGGTCTCTAGGGGCTCCTTTGTAGGGGGTGGGAGCGGCACTGAGCCCAAGTTCCACTCCTCTGCACCACTCACCTGGCCCTTCACCATCCACAGCGCCCACACCTGGCCTCTTTCTGTGCACCTCCCAGCATAGGGGACATCCCCCACATGACCCAGAATGGGCACAGGGAAATGAGCATACTGGGTGGGGGCACCCTCTCTGCTTCCACTTGCTTGAGGGGCTGGCCACCCCTCTGAATGTCCCACCACCCTCCATACATTAGCACAGGGCAGCTGGTCCTGGCCCATGGACACACAGGGTGGGAGCCCCCTGACCAAGCCAGAGGGTCACAGGGCCTGGACTCTGAGCTCACCTCACCCAGCCACTGTGCCACCCACAGTCCCCCGGGGCAGGGAGGGTCACAGGGTCAGGATCAACTGAGTGGACACCCCAGGTCTGGTGGGTGGGGGCACCTCTGGGCATGTGCTCACAGCTATGGGATGTCTGCCTCACAGAAGGATGAAGAGGAGAGAGAAGATGCTCTGATTGAAAGGAAGAATTTTCCCTCCCTCCCACCCTCTCTCCCTCTCATGTCCTTGCTGGACCTTCAGTCCACCTCAGGGTCTGAGAACTCCTGGCCAGGGGCAGCCTCATCCACAAATGCCCCAAAGCACTGTCCAGCTCTGGTTCGGGACCCTAGGGACCACATCACTTGCCCATGGAGGGTAGTCCCCAGGGTACATATTGCCTGGGCCCACAGAGCCTGGCCAGGGGAAAGGGCAGGGCAACACCATCCTGAGGGGAAGGACTCACAGCCCCTTGAAGGGGTCTGTCCCCCCCTGCTGGCTGGAAGCTCAAGCCCCACCCAGCCCAGCAGGACAGCTCTGTGTTTCCTCTGTACTACGGCTTAGGGGCCAGGCCAACATGGTGTCCAGATGACACCAGAGTCCAGGGCCCTGAGGCATGGGTTACGGCCGACGGTCATGATTGCAGAGGGAGGGGAGCCCCGGGGCTGGGGGGTGAGTTGTGAGGGCTGGGACCCAGCTCACAGAGAGGGGCCTGGCTGTTCTAGACACTGTCTAGGGAAAGGTCAGACACGAGCACAGCCCTACTGGGCTCTGGTGGGGACGCCTCCTGGGAGCCTG